TTTCTGCTTTACATCTTGGAGAGATAAGAGTAAAAAAATTTAATGTTAAAAGTAACTGAAAAAAATAGAAAATATTTAGCCTTGATATGAGAAAGATTTTCCAAGCAAAACGCTAAGGCAAGAAGCATAAATAAAAAGATCTCTAAATTTGGCTTTATAAAAGTTACATGTAGCAATAAACAAATACACAAAATTAAAAGGAAAACAAAAAACTGTAAAAGGTTACAATACATGTGACAGAAGGATGATTATCTTAATAAAAACTATTTCAACAAAGACTACAATCCTAATTAAAAAAAAACATTAACATAGCGTATGACCGATATTCATAAAGGATGTGAACATGAAATGTATTTATTGTAGTAGTGATAAAATATTGAAAATTAAGTGAAATACTTTTTCATTAGAATGACAAAGATTCAAAACAACAATGTTGATATGATGTGTGGAAAGGGGAACTCATATAAGGTTTTGATGGTAGGCTAAACTAGTACTACCTGTCTGAAGAAAAGCTTTTAAAAAAAAGTACACATGCTTTGGGAAATAATCTGACGAGTGTGCAAAGAACACAGATGTGCTCATGGTAGTGTTGTTTATGATGGGAAAAAATGTTAACACCCTAAATGACTATCATTAGATTTGTTAAGTTATGGTATACACATATGAAAGAATAATATACACCTATTAAAAATGGTTCGGATGTATGTGTTGAAATAGAGAAGCGTTCCTGACTTGCTGTTGTGTGAGAAGAGCAGGCTATAGAGTTCCTTTTTTTGAAAAAACACGTATATATTTAGATATGTATTTGTGTATCTTCTATATATGTTTTTAAACATTGGTGAGATATAGTGGTTATCTCTGGGTGGTATTATGGGTGATTTTTGTTTTATTTTTATGTTTATGCTTTATTATTTTCTATGTGAACATACACATTTTACTTTGACAGTAACTATTTTTTTCTGGTAATACTAACGATACATACTGTGATGTTTAGAAGGTATATAAATAATCAGTATGTACAACCTGCCTAATCCCCCCTGAGTATACATACCTACACATATGCAAAACATAGATTTTCCCTGTTATAAAATTAGAAGTTAGTGGTAGAGTTAAAGAAAATAGTTAATTTGTGACTTTGATCGGTTTTAAACTTTCTTGGATAGTAGTAACTTTGTTAGTGGAGATGTGCTACCACTTGGTCTATTAAAGCAGTTATTCTTCTTTGCTGAATTCTCAAGGTCTGTATGTTCTACCTAAATTTCTTGGGCTTAAATTAAAATCTACTTTATAGATTTTCCCTCCATATACATCCATAGGCTGGGTCTTTGCAGATTTCAAGCCCCAGAAATTCATGGAAACAAAGATATTTTTTCATCCTTCTATATTAACTGAGTTAATATTAGTATTTGTGGGGATTAGAAGTAGTCAAAGTGTTGATTCACTAAGTAGTAATACCCAAGTGTGGGGTTCTAGAGAAATGGTTAGGAATGATATACCTGGTTCACTCTTGGATTATAGTCCACAGGCTAAAGTTATGGCCAAGTTGAGGCCCTGTTTTGTGATGGCTTTTTTTTTTTCCTGGCAAAGCAAGATGTGGAGGATTCAAATCTAGTTGCTGAAATTGATCTTATATGGAGATTTCCATGTATTTCCCAAATATCTTTCTCTTCTAGGAGTTACAGTTTATCGATTGTTCCTGAACCTGCTGGATGTACACCAGAATCACCTGGGGAGAGTATTAAAAATACAGATTCTTGGGCCCCACCCCTGGAGATTGTGAATCAGTAAGTAGATCTGGGGTGGGGCCTGGGAATTTGTATTTTTAAACAAGTAAACTTCAGGTGATTCTGATGCCACCAGACTGGTGTTTGGGAATCACTGGTTTAAAAGTAAATATGGTGGTTTGGCATGGAATTTCTATTTTAGAAAACAGGTAAAACAGGATCACTGATTTAAAAAGTAAATATGATGGTTTGGCATGGAATTTCTATTTTACCGAACGGGTAAAATAGGCTAGTTTTTACAACAGAAGAGCATTTTTAATAATTAGCCTCCTTTGCCCCCTTTTGAAGTCGCTCCCCAAGTAGGGAGAAGAAGAGAGCTCGTTGGGAGGAAGAAAAAGACAGATGGAGTGATAACCAGAGCTCTGGCAAAGATAAGAACTATACCTCAATCAAGGAAAAAGAGCCCGAGGAGATGCTGCCTGACAAAAATGAGGAGGAGGAAGAAGAACTTCTTAAGCCTGTGTGGATTCGATGTACCCATTCAGAAAACTACTACTCCAGCGACCCCATGGATCAGGTGGTAGGTCTGGAGTAGGAGAGAAGCTGCAGACCAGGGTTGCTCTAACCTTGGTACTATTGGTGTTTTGGCCAGATAATTCTTTATTGGGTGGCTGCCCCATGCATTTAGTATGTTTAGCGACTTCTCTGGGCTCTACCCACTAGATGCCAGTAGTGACAACCAAAAATGTCTTCAAATATTGTCAAATGTCCCCTGGGGAAAAAATTACCCGCAGTTGAGAATCACTGCTATGGACAAAAGCCTTCTTAAAAAGCCAAAGGCCAAGAGTGTAGTAGGTTAGAAAACATCTCTTTATTCTGCATTTTTTATCAGACTGATACTAGTGATTCCATAAGCTGTCACCTGAAACTATAATAGTTTATGCTCTGTGTGTGTGTGTGTGTGTGTGTGTGTGTGTGTGTGTGTGTGTGTTTCCCCAAAAACAGGAAATAAGAATTTGAGCTTGTCTTTTTGGAGTGTATCCTTGGCCAGAAGAGCACCACCGTAGGAAGTTTCCCATGCATGTTGGCTGGTTTTGTGGAAGGGGAGCTATCGTCAGTCACCCTTATCAGACTGTGGAGAGGACTCCTAATGCGTGCACTGCAGAGGCGGGGGGGGCGCGTGTGGCTCCGCAGCCAGTATGCTCTTTGCCATGGCGGACTCCACGACCTCCTCCATATGCTCACTCCTCTTTTTCTCTTCTTTCTTTCATCTCCATTTTATTCTCTGTCACTCTCCCCTTTTCTCTTTCTTCCTGTCTTCTCCATGGGTGTTATGCCTCCATCCCATTAGCATAGGCATATTTGCCTCAGCGTAGACACACAGTAATGTTCATTGATTAAATGTAGGAGTGAAGGAACAACTATCTACAGATTTAGAGCATTATAATTGGAGACGTTAGGGTTGGTGCATGGGATAGGAGAGGATTGTGTTGTTTGGAATTTTGTGAAAATAGCTTCTACTCGGACTTTGTGGGAGAATTGAAAGGAGATTTCCTTGCCTTTGGACAAAAAGGGTTTGAGAAATCTCTCATAATGGTGGGGTATTTCACTTGAGAAATAAGAGCAGACTTTTAAGTTATTTAGTTCGTGTGATATATGGAAGGGAAAGAAAGCTCACATACTGAGCACTTTTATGGTGTCAGACTTTACTCCATGCTTCTCATATCACCGTGCTTCTCATCATGCCATGTTTGAAGTAATCCTCAAGACATCCTGGCAGGAAGGTGTTCTGTCAGTTAGGAGTGCTGCTGGGAGTAGTAATACCAGACTCAGAAGGACTTCAATCAGCTGGGTTTATTTTTCTCATAGTAAGGTGTCTGGAGGGGGGCCATGGCCAGTGTTGGTTCAGTGGCTCAGTGGTGGCAGAGCTCTGCTGTCTTCTGGGGCATCCTTCACAGTTGCAGGATGATGCAGCCCCTCTAAATGTCGTGTGCTTGCACACCTGTGTCCCCACACGCAGGACTCAGAGGGCATGTTGGGTAGAGCATCTCTAGCACCTCACCCAAGCTCCCCTTCCATTCCTTCAACAGGGCCACATCATGTACCTACCCCAAGGATTTGTTTTCCATCATTGCCATGACAAAGTTCCACAAACCTCATGGCTTAAAACAACACACATTTATCATCTCACAGCTCTGGAGGCCAGAAGTCCTACTTGGGTCTCATCAGCTAAATCATGGTGTCAGCAGGACTACGTTCCTTTCAGGAGGCTGTGGAGAAAATTGGTTTTCTTGCTTGTTCAGGTTGTTGGCAGGGTTCAGTTCCTTGTGACTATAGGACAGAGGTCTTTGTTTCCCTACTGGCTGTCAGCTCAGGGCTCTTCCCAGCTCCTAGAGGCCACGTGCATTCCTTGACTCGTGGATCCCTTCCTCCATCTTCATAGCCAGCAACGCCAGTCGAGTCCTTATCATGCTTTGAATATGTCTCTTCTTCCGTTGCATCTCTGACCTCTCTTGGTAAAAGTTCTCTGCTTTTAAGGGCTCCTGTGATTAGATTGGGTCCACCCAAATAATCAAGGATGATCTCCCCACCTCAAATTCTACAACCTTGATAACATCTGTAAGTCCTTTATGCCATGTAGGATAACATTTAATTTCTGGGGATTAGGAAGTGGACATCTTTGAGAGGGGAGTGGTGGCTCAGTCCACCTTCCCTGAGATCAGGAGTTCTCTGCCCAAAAACTGATGGAATCATGGTTCTCTTAGCAAGAAGGGAAGATTGGCTGCCCTCGGTATTGTTATAAAACAACAAAGACAAAGACTCTGAAGTTCAGAGAGTTTAAACTGGCAGAGCTGCTTTTTTTTCTTACACTGTTATGGGTATATTAAACTCCAGTGTAAAAGGAAGACTAAGCCCAAAAGACCAACATTTGCCTTTGAGTTTGTTGTCAGGTGCAGAGAAGGTGGTGAGAATATCAGAGCTATCTTGCTGTTACCAATCTCAGCAATAAAGTGGGGCCTGAGGAAAAGCAATTATTTCCCCTTCTGGATACCAGATTTTATACCTTAACTTTATTTTTGCATTTGAAACGTCTGGTTTTTACATTTTGAGGTTACTAAGCCAAAGAGTATAGCATTTAAAGTGATTTTCCACGTGGAAAGAGAGTGGGGGAAAATGGAGAACTTCTTTTAAGAATGCATTGCAGAATCCCTGTGTTTGTGGTGTGTGTTTGTGTATCTGCCCCCATGTTTGTGGGGTGTGTGTATGTGTGTGTGTGTGTTAGAGAGAGAGAGAGAGAGAGGATATATAGGCTATTTCCTTTTGTTTGTTAGGTTGATGTAGACGGTAGGTACTGAGCTTCAGTAGGAAGTGGACATTGCTTAGGAGGGTATCTGGTGTCAGTTGTCACGAATTCTCTGAGGGTCATGATTGTCTTAAAAATGTCATATCAAAAGAGCATAGATGAGGAGTTCCGATGTTTCTGAATGTTGGCAAAGTACATTTACCTGAGGGCTGCGTCAGCCATAGTGTGTGATCCACAGTATCTTTGCCAAAGTCGGGCATTTTGTTTGTAAATATTAAATTGAAAAATAGCATCTTGCTGTTAAAAATTTTTTGATTACTAGTGAGGTCTTATATATCTTTATTATGATCATTGTTGTACTTCCTAATATTGATCCTTTATTTTTAAAAGGGAGACTCTACTGTGGTTGGAACAAGTAGGCTCCGTGACTTATATGACAAATTCGAGGAAGAGCTGGGGAGCAGGCAAGAGAAGGCCAAAGCCGCCAGGCCTCCGTGGGAACCACCGAAGACGAAGCTCGATGAAGATTTAGGTGTGTTACAGAGCCACTAGACCAAGACCCCGTGCTCTTTTATTGTGGCTTAATCATGGACTTTTGGGAAGTATCCTTGAGAGTCCCATATTGAGACTTCTTTTTCATTTTATTTTCCTTAATTACAGTCAGCAAAATACATAGCAGTGGAACCTCCTTCTTTTTCATCTTATTTTTTCTTAGTTGCATTCAGCAGAATACATCAGAGATCTCATTTGTAAGCCATGCGAACAAGTGTGTCCCTTGTAGAGTTGTCCTCAGCGTTCCTCTGAAAGCAGGAGCGTGTGTCCCACACCTAGATGATGGGCAGGTGGCCCTCCTTGGCCTTCTCCGTTGCCAGGTGCACCTGGTTTGATGAGGAAACAGCAATGATAGCCCAACTGTTTGAAGGTTTCTTTCTACTCACATACACAGTTTCTATAACTTTTCATATGGTGATCTATTTTTTTCATGTGTATGTTCTGAGGTTCCAAATAGATGGTGAGATCTTTGAGGATAGAAACTACTTTTTACCACTGTGTCCTTAGGCCCTGACAGAATGCCATGCACAGACGAGACATTCAATGTGCATTTACAAATGTGTTCTCTTTTGTTCTCATCTGCCCACCTTCCTTATGTCTTACATGCTAAGAGGCAGTATCCATAATGGGTAAAAGCACTGACTTGGTAGCCCGATGGTCTGGGTTTGAATCCCTGCTCCACCACTTACTTGATGTGTGACTTTGGGCAAGCCATTTAATCTCTCTGTGCCTCAGTTTTCCCATCTGTAAAATAGGGATGACAGTAACATCTATTTCATACAACACACATAAATATAACTCTGTAAGAGTTAGAATTTATTATGCTACTACTACATTAATCTCTTACGGGGTTAATCTAACTTCTAGGTCTTTCTTTAAAAAATTATAAAATAGATATAACATAAAGTTTGCCATCTTTACCATTTTTAAGTATACAGTTTAGTAGTGTTAATAAGTACATTCATGTTGTTTGCAACCAATCTCCAGAACTTTTCATCTTGCTACACTGAAACTGTACCCATTAAGCCATTAAGCAATAACTCCCATGGCTCCCCTTCCCCCAGCCCTCACCTGGCCACCACCCCACCATTCTACTTTCTGTCTCTGTGAATTTGACCACTCCAGGTATCTCATATATGTAGAATCTCCATTCAATATTTGTCTATGTGACTGGCTTATTTTAGTTAGTGTAATTCTACATCTGTTTTGTTTTTTTTTTGAGACAGGATCTTGCCCTATTGCCCAAGTTAGAGTGCAGTGGCGTCATCATAGCTCACAGCAACCTCAAACTCCCGGACTCAAGCGATCCTCCTGCCTCAGCCTCCCGAGTAGCTGGGACTACAGGCATGCGCCACCATGCCCCGCTAATTTTTTCTATATATTTTTAGTTGTCCAATTAATTTCTTTCTAATTTTAGTAGAGAGGGGGTCTTGCTCTTGCTCAGGCTGGTTTCGAACTCCTAAGCTCAAACAATCCGCCCGCCTCAGCCTCCCAGAGAGCTAGGATTACAGGCATGAGCCACCGCACCTGGCCATTTGTTTTTTTTTTGAGACAGGATCTTGCCCTATTGCCCAAGTTAGAGTGCAGTGGCGTCATCATAGCTCGCTGCAACGTCAAACTTCTGGACTCAAGTGATCCTCTTGCCTCAGCCTCCCGAGTAGCTGGGACTACAGGCGCGTGCCACCATGCCTGGCTAATTTTTCTATTTTTTGTATAGATAGGGTCTCGCTCTTGCGCAGGCTGGTCTTGAACTCCTGGCCTCAAGCGATCCGCCCACCTTGGCCTCCCAAATTGCTAGGATTACAGTTGTGAGCCACCCTCCCCAGGCTTAACATCTGTTTTTATTCAGTCACTTTCAAGGACTAAAGTCTTCTCTTGCTACTATTGAGAGAAAAAAATTAAAATCTTCAATCCTGTGTTTTTAAAATCTTCAATCCAATGCATTTAGTCTGGCATTCACAACACTCCCAGCCCCTCACCTCCCAAGTCCGTCACCTCCCAATATTTCTCTGTGGGGTCTGTGCTCTAGCCAGAGTCCACCCATGTTCTTAACTCTGTGCTTTTGCCTACAGCGCTCCTTCTCTGTTCCTTTCCTCTTCCCTCCTCATCAGCCTACTCCCATCCCTCGCCAGTGCATGGGTCACATGTGCCTCTTCCATGAAGTTGTCACTGACCTGCCCTTTTGTGAATTGCTATAGCTTTTTAAGTGTGAAACCACATACTACTATTGTGTTTTTATTTTATCTGGCATTATTCATTGAGTCTTATTTTCTCTGTAAAAATGTTTGTTTTCTTTGCTTCCCCAACTAGATTATGACTTTGTATTATGGACTGTCTTATTTTTCATGGTATTGCTTAGCAGAGTGTTTGGTGCAGAGTAGGCCCTCAAGTACTTGCTGGAAGAATAAAGAACCGTCCTTACATTTAGAAGTTTAGGTCATTTGGAAGTCTCCACAAAAACCATTTTGTTAATTTTTTCAACATCTATTTGTGTTTTTCCCTCAACCTCTGTTAGAGAGTTCCAGTGAATCTGAGTGTGAGTCTGATGAGGACAGCACCTGTTCAAGCAGCTCGGACTCTGAAGTTTTTGACGTCATTGCAGAAATCAAACGCAAAAAGGCCCACCCTGACCGACTTCATGATGAACTTTGGTACAATGACCCAGGCCAGGTGGGTGTGTTTTTATGCTCTTCCTGTGAAAGTTGAAAACCCACACATCACATTTATGGCTCTGGGCTCAGAAGATCCATGTTTGCTGGTATCGAAACTGAATTTTACTCTAAGGGTTGGGTCATTCTTCAGAGGTATTTCTTTTCAGCTTCAGAGTTCAGTTCCAAAGCATAAGCACCAGAGCAGCTGTTCTTTGAATCATATTTGACGATGTTTGTAAATTCTGTGTTAGGGAGCAAGGTAATGGTGCTATCTCATTAAACTTGCTGTAGGCGAATGGAGACAAATGGTAGCAAGAGGGAGAAAGAACTCATAGATCTTTTTAAAAGCAGTTCACCTGGAATGTATCTTCCTGCAATATAGTAAACAAGTCCTATAAAACTTTTTTATTTGGTAACAGTCAGAAGTCCTTATAAGTTCTCTTCCTTATTAAGTATATTTGAGCTAATGACGTAATAGCTGGACATAATCATTTGTATTTTGAATTACTGTTTTATT